AAAAAAAAAAAGAATAGCCACTGTCACAATAGGCATTCATTTGGATTCTGAATACTTTCACAGGGTAAGTAACTTACAAATACTTGAAGTATACACCAACTTTAAATAAATTTATCATACCTTACATAAAAAAGTGAAGTGATCACTCTCATCAAAGTGATCTTTAAAAAGTACTCACATGTATAATTAGATATTCTGAATGTGATTCACAGTCTAAACACAACAGTTGTTTCATTCAATTATTATCAATTCCTAAATGTAGTATCACAGACTTTTATGATCTTGAGCCTACAAAATAATTTGTTTATCCTGGTACAATAGATAATGTCACCAGTGACATAATGTCAGTGTTCACTAAGTTACGGATGTTAGAATAATTTAAACATCCAATTGTCAGGTTATGGATGCTCAATATTTAGGCATCTTTGAAGATACTGGGTGAGATTCAAGAAATGTGAATATAGTCATACTTGAACAGTATGATCGATTTTATTATTTCCTCTTATACTCTGATACTGCAGGAACATTTTGATATGAAGGTAAATTACCTTAGATTTCTTTGGCAACTTTCGTACTCATCCTCAGTTTTCTGGTCATCCCAGTTTCTTTCTGAAGCATAGAAACAGTAATGTAATGGTGAGTTACTAGGTTATACAAAAATTGATAACAGTCAACTTCCTTGATATAATGTGCCTATCACTGGAAGAGTCATTGAAAGCTTCTATTTACCAATGAAGGAAACTGCACTGATACACAACAACCAATTCTTTCTGATTACATAAATGAGACAATGATTATCCCTTACCTACAAAAGACACATTTCTGAAGGTTTCCCACATCACATCTCTGAAGAGCTCCTTTTGGGACGGATACAACAAAAACCACTCATCCGTGGTGAAGGTCACAGCCACTTCCTCAAAGGTCACTGCCTCCTAAATCATAAGACACAGGTTTCTAAAAATAAGACAAAGGGCTGGTGAGATGGCTCAGTGGTCTAAAGCACCTACTTAGAACAAGCTAGGCAAAGCACAGGGACCGCGGTTCAATCCCCCAGC